CACTGATATTTGAGTTCAGGAGGTAGGGGCTACTCACAGGTGAGTCCTGTGCTCACACTTCTTATAATAGAGATGCAACTGCACACCTTCTGTTAACCATTAACGACTGTTCCACAGCAATCTTTCAGAGTTTTCTGAATCAAAGGACAAGGGTAAAGATGGGGTACACATTGGAATAGGCATTGGGCAGCATAAGTAAAACCGTCTTTTCCTCCTCCTCCTTTTTAAAGGAAAGATCAGAGTCCAGATTTGTATTCATCAAGGAGGAGACACTCCAAGGAATCCAACAGAGTTGTGGGTTGCTGTTCCTTTACTTTTGAATAATTCCAGTGGCTTGAGCTTGTCCCAGCCTTGAAAGATACTGAGACCTTCATTTGTACTTTACGTGGCTAAGGGTTTGTTTGACTCCCTCCTCCACTCCGTTCCCAGGATTTGCCATGTTCTTTTTCTGGTTCTCCGAGACTGTTTCTAAGATTGTTTCTTTGAAGGGAACCGACACGAAGGGTGTATTACTCCTTGTCCCTTGGACCATATCATCAGATATAGCACAGCTATCACTAAAACACACACACACAGAGATACACAGTGTAACTGAATTCCAAATTGACAACTCTTAGAAGTGACACGGCTTGTACCTATGCATAGGAAATGCTCTCGGTTGATTTACTTAACTAGGCAGTGTTTTGTCAAGGAGCTAGAAATGTAAGTATGCAAGCTAAAAGCAATGGTTCTTTGTGAAGCAAGGTTCCCTTATTCTATGCAATCTTCCAACGAGAGGTGTCCCTATAATCATCATTAGTTGTGTCTGGGGATCGTGGCAGAAAATAGTGGAAGATGAGCAACTGATCAAATCATGATAGGTACTAATCACCATCTTCTCTTTGGTTACTGTTTCTCTCTGACAGAATGCATGCTGACTTGATAAATGGCAATCAATTTAAAATTCTTCACTGGGCTTAGATGAGCAAAATACAACACTGTATATCACGATTGTTAAAAACTAAAATTCAACTGAGCAGATTCGAAGATCTAGTTGGCATTATTAAATGATTCATGAACCGGGCAGCATTTCATCCAGCAAGCAGGGACTAGTACAAAATGGAAGGCTTTTAAAGAAAGGAGTGGGGGCAAGAAAATCATTAGTAAAAGAAAAATAAAAGTTGGTTGGAGGAAAGTAAGAGTTCAGGGTGACTATGACTTTCATTGGTCGAGCCACGGTGTTTTTCATTGGTCGAGCCACGGTGTTTTTCATTGGCTGGGGTACTAAAGGAGATACGTCTTCCTGTCGGAGATGCAAGATAATCCCTTCCTGTTGGGGGTAAGGCACGAGAGCTCCCTCTATAGGCCTTCCCAACACCAATTTTCATTGAGATTTTCTTATTAATTTCCACAGTAGGAATATATAAGGTTTTATAATGTTTTGTAACATTATAAAATAAAGTGTTAGTGAGATGAACTTCAGCTAGCTTTTAACTGGTTTTACTTAGTTCCAGTTTTTTTCCCTCTAACCCGTATACAAATACAATATTGATTTTCTAGTATGTTTCACAGTATTCTTTTCGTTGCAAATAATGCTGGAACCCAAGTCAAACTGGCTTACGGAATGAAAAAAAATTTGTTGGCTCATTCGAGTGTAAAACTGTCTTAAGACACTGCTGAATCGGAAGCCTCAGCTTGTGTCACCAGGACACTGGTATTCTCTATGTTGCATTTCCTTTGGGTCGGTTTTATTCAGGCTCTCCCTACAAATTGGCAATGACGGCCACCAGTAACTTCACACTGAAAGTCTGTCAGTTTAGCAACACCAGGGGGTAGAGAAACCCTTCCTAGCAGAAATGCCAATCTGGCTTTCACTAGTCTATCTGATGAACAGATTTATTGTGGCCAGGAAATGGATTGTTTTGATTGGTCAGTCCTGGTCATGTGCCCATCACTGCAACAAGGAACTGAGGCAGGGGAGGGGTAGTTCTGCAAAGGAAAATGGAAGCACTGTTTTCAGAGGAGGGAATCAATGATCAGCAAAACATTACAGCAAATGCCCACTTCCATGAGGAGATTCCCTGGCTCTAGTGGGAGGGGGAACTCGTGCAAAACAAAGATTGAGTTTTGGAATTCACAGCCCTGGATTCTATTCCCAGAGTGGTCAAGGGCTAGCCAGCTGTGAGACTCTGTCATGTCAACTCACCTCTTTCACCTGTAGTCTCCACCTGGCAGTAAAGAGAAAAACTCAGAGGCTGGAAGAGGAGGAAAAAGGACTGTGATTGGCAGTTAATACTTCATAAAGGTTAAATTAGTAAAATGGAATGTTTTTTACTTCCTTAAAAAATGACAGTATTGCATTCTGGGATGGTTCATGCATTACCTCCCAGCAGGGAAGTCACAAATTCTCAAACCTCAGTTTCCGCATTTACAAAACAAATTAACTACTTAGATAAATCAACAAAATGTATGAAGAGAATATATCAGACATTTTGCCAGACACTGAGGATATACATAATAGCAATCAAGATATAACTATGTGCTTTTGAAAACTTACATTCTAGTGAGGGAGACAGACCACTAATAAAGGAGCAATTGAGTATATGTAATGTGTGTGTTGGCAAGATAAAAATGGCATGATTAAAGAGGATAGAAACTTATAGAAAATGAGGTCTGAAATCTTCCTGAGATGATCAAAGAAGATTTCTGTGGGAAGTAACATCAGAGCAGAGTCCCCCTGACCTGAGGGACTGATCTACCCATGGTAGCGTCCTAGGGAGGAGAACCAGCCAGTGAGAAGCCCCGAGGTGAGAGCCTACTTTTGTCGTCAAGGAAAGCAGTGAAACCCGTGAGCTCGAGGGCCGTGAGGACGAGGCCATGGTTAATGCTGAGATCCGAGAGGAGGTGGGCCAGCTCGTGTCGGGTCTGGTTGGCCGTGATACGAGGTTTGATTTTATTCTAAGTGTGATAGGAAGCCAGAAGAATTTTATGCAAGCTAGAAAGGATCTGACTTACATTTTCAAGATATTGTTCTGGCTAATGTGGGGAGAAGGGATGCCAGTGGAGCGACCAGAGGATCAGTGAGGAGGGTGGAGGGTATTCTGGTGAAGGAGGTGGTCACTTGCTTGGGCCAGGGTGCTGGTTCTGGAGGTAATGAGAAAAATAGTCAGATGAAGGAATCGTTTTCAAAGCAGAGAGAATGAGTTTGCTGATAGTTTGGTTATAGGACGTGAGAAAAAGAGGTAGTTCCGTCTCAGTAACTGGATAAATGATGGAACTATTCACTGAGCTAGAGACACGAAGGGAGGAATAGGTTCTTGTGCTGGGAGTGGGAAATGAAGAGTTAAGTTGGAAATGCTTTGTACTCATCCAGGTGTGATGTCAGGTAGGCCATACGAGTCTGGGAAAGGCCTGGGCTAGAGCTATTTATCGTTTTGGGAACCTTCGGTGAGTAAGCAGTATTTTAAGCCATGGAAATAGATGTATTCATTTCAGGATTTTATTTTATTTTATTCTTTCAAAAATATTTTATTGTTTATGCTATTACAGGGGTCCCAATTTTTACCCCTTTTGCCCCCTCCCCCCAGCACCCCCTCCCATAGTCAAACCCCACACTGTTGCCCATGTCCATGGGTCATTCATACATGAGCAATGATTTCACATGGATGAGGAAAGAGAGTAGAGCCCAGTTATTTCAATTGTTAGGGCTTTGTGCTTAACTATTTCAAATAAAAGGTTATTCCAAGTTCAAATGGAATAGTGGACAGAGAGGAGTGGACAGAGCTACTTTGCTTGACGTCAGGGTGGGGTTCAGGGACCCGCAGGTGGAGCCTCCCCCACCCCTGCCCCAGACCCAGAAGTGCCCACGGGAGCCCCTGCTAGTCTTAGAGGCTCCAAAGAACAGACCCAATGAGATCTACACCCTTTTCAGCTCTGCTGGTCTGCCATTCTCTTCTTCGCTGCCAGGCGTGTTCGGTCCATCCCGACCAGAGCATCTCAGGGCCCAGGCTGAGCTTCGTGGTTCTGTTATGGAGCTAAACAGATTTACAGTTTCATTTTGGTTAGATTTAATTAGACACCCAGCAGATGGAATTATAGAGTACCAGAGCTGGAAACGAATCCAGAGATCATCTCTTGCAGTCCTTTCTGTTTTTGTGAGGTGGATGATGAAGCTCGGAATGCAAAAGGGACTTGCTCAGGGTAACCCCAGAAGCGACAGACCAGGCTCTGCCCCTGCATTCTCTCATTCATTATGTTGTGGGACAAATGTGTTGGAAAACAGGGATTCTTGTGAAAAATAAAACTGTGCAGTCAGTTGAGAGCTGATTTAGTGAGTATCAGTGAGTGTCCATCTGTTAAAGGGCATCAGGTCTATGCTAGCAGAACTTTTGATACTCTGCAACGTAGCTCCCCTTGGACTGGGGGTTCTTAGCCTGGGGTTTATGGACGGGCCTCAAGGAATCGTGGGCTCCCCTGCAAGTATGTGTGTGTGTGTGTGTGTGTGTTCGTGCTCATCTATTTTTTTCTGGGTAGAAAGTTCTCAAGACTTTATTAGATTCTCAAAGGGATACATAATTACCCACCCTCAAAAAAGGTTAAAAAAAAACAAACCTCAAAATTTTTAAAGGAAACAAAGTGACTGACCATTTTAGACAATGTGCTGTTTTAATCATAACAATATAATTACCTATTTTCACTGGCTAGTGTCCTAATGCAGATCATATAAATGAGTTTTTTTCTGAGAAGAGCAAAAAATAACAAATAAACCGATTTAACGCAGAGTAAATAAAATACCTGTATGTTTTAATCTCCAGGAAATTAATAAAAACTCTCTGCAACACTTAGAGGTGCCATACCTCAATTTGCCATCGTATTGTTCATTAAATAGTTTATACTGATACTCTATAAAATCCTAATAAATAGGTAGCAATGACTCTTTAGCCTTTTTTCCCCTTTGCCAAGGACTTTTATTTCCCTCCATTAACTGGTTGTCTAACTTCTTATTTATTCCCACATTATAGGACCCTTGGGGTGCTGAAATCCAACTCACCCATGCCTATTTCCTGTAATGGACGAACTTGATGCTAATGTGAGGTATGTGACAGTTCTGTATCTATTGTGCTATAAACCGTGGTCATTCGCACCATGAGGCCTCTGTAACAAAGCTGTGGCTGTGGATTTTCTTCAGCGTTTCATATGTATAAGCATGAATGTGGTTCTGTTCGATTATTAGTGTGTTTTTTTATTCTGCTTAAATGATAAATCAGTACGACTGTAATTGTTTCCAGATGCCTATACAAAAACTCTGCACTATGGGAGATAAGTTATATGAAAGTAGATATTCATCTCTGTAATAGGGAGAAAGAAGATATATTTAAATGGCATAAAAACAGCTTAAGAATGTCTGTGTGTACAGCTACACTTTGAGTATGCATTTAAAGAGCTATTTATAGCGGACTCTAGTTTGCCCACTTCTCTTTTCAGCCAGGCCATTACGTGCGACGTGATGGTTGCATGGTATAGTTATACAAAGCTGAATGCTTTTTATTTTGTTTTCCCATAATTTCCTGCTGCACTTGGAGATCAAATAGTAGGATGGCTTCAGGGAAGTTATTTCTTTGAAAGGCTTGCTGCATTTTATTCGGTAGAAACAAATAGTGTATTCAATCAGGTTTAAGTGTTATGGATTGACTTTTGAGGCTGAGGACTAGCTGGCGATACCAATAGCTGGAAGACTTTCTGGAAAAAAAAAAAAAAGCAAAAAACATTCCTGGTGTAATCACAGGGCAGTATTTTTTTCACTTGAGACCTGTAGAAAAGCACATTTCAGGTTTGGATCAGGGGCTCTGTGCTTCTGTGTTCCCCTAGTAGAACGCTGTGACATTCTGCTGAGAGCCGTCAAATGTCTTGACAGCAACTCTATTGTAACGCACCGAGTTCCAAAGGCGCACTAAACCCAGGAACTCCTTAAGGGTGGAATGTGTTTCATGCTTAATCCCTGGCACATGGCGGGTATTTAGCTAAGGGTTGTCGGTCAGACTGTCACTGATGTTACTCTGTTTCAAATGGGGTTGAGTTCTGTGGCACCTTGCTGTGCAAAGAGGTTCTGACTATGAAGCAATAAAACATTACATTCTCAATAGAAGCATTGTGGACTTTTTTTATTTACCCAACACACTGACTTGGTGCAGAGTCTTAGGACCTCCGTGTAGATTTTTTAGGCTGGTGCCATGTGTTTCATTTTCCTCTAGAAGTTGGTGACATTATTCGTCCAGGGAAAGCAGAGGGGAATCTAGGGAATCTCAATTTTCTTTTCGTTAATCAAAAGGTCAAAGTGAATCGATGGTGATAAGCTATGAAATTGTTTTAAGTTTTAGACATGGTATGAAGCTGCATCGGTTGGTAAACTACTCTTCTTTGTGGATAATTTGGATAGTGTGATCCCTAACATTTTTAGCTTTTCAACATTTATTTGTAGCAGCATTGGATTCTAATGGCAGAATACAATTCAGTTAAATGAAGCCTCAGGTGCTGTGTATCTTTTATCACTTAGGTTGCAAAATAATAATCACTCCCCAGAATCTCATCTCCAGACCATCTTTGCTGTCAGATTTCTAGCCTGATCCCATCAACATGTGCTCATCCTCGCCCACTCCCCCTCTCTACCCACAATATTAGTAACATGCAAATGCCACAGACTTTCCACGCTTCTTCCTCAGTCCAGCCTGTGGGGGTGTCCAGGAGAAAGGACATATTTTAGGCTTACATTTACCAGATTGTGATGGTGGCTGTCTAGTAATACATAACGATTTTAGGTGGTATATGAACATTTTTTTATTTTAAAATAAATATTTATTTTAACGTAACCGTCTTAATAGGATGACTGATAGTATTTTGTACTCTTACAGTTTCCTTTTAAAATACATTTATTTAAAGTAGAAAATTAAGTGTATTTAAAGAATATGTTATGTGATTTAAAACTACTCATTAACAAATGAATGTGAAACAAAATCCTAAGGGTAGTAGGTAAATGACCGGGGTCCAAAAACTGATATTCTAGGTATAACTAGACAGAGTAAATGTTAATTACTTTAAGAGCAGAAACCAGAAATTCTTTTTTTGGTAAGAAAATGTCTTCACTTGGTAAAATGCCTACATAAAGTGAGAGCCAAAGGGCCTAAATCCCTGGCACAAAAATAGGAATTTTTTACATGCTTTTGAGATAGGAAAATGAGTGAATGGAGGAGGGAGAAGGTTGGAGAAGAGGCAAGATTCAGAGGAGAGCTGAGCTCTGCTGGGAGAAGGGTGAAATGAACAGCCAGCACCATGGTGGCTTTTGGGACCTGGAGAGTGGTCGGGCTGGGTATCTTTATTTGCTGGCTTGTTTTAAATGTGCATGAGGTGTGTGCTGACCTCTCCCAGGATCGAGCTCTTCAATAAAACTTTCTGGCTTGGCTAGGAATTGAGTGTTGAATGTTTACTATGTGTGAGGACATCATGAGCTATAAACTTAACATGAGTTACCCATTTAATTTGTGAAACAACCCTATGAGGCACGTGCCTTTATTACATCCATTTTACAGTGTGTGGTAACCAGAATTCAGCACCCTGCCCAAGGGCACAGAAACACACCATCTCCTGCTGCACTACAAACGTGGTATGAGCCTGTGTACGTGTGTGCAAGTGTGCATGGTTGAGATGGCTGGCGGGCCTGTCTGGGTCCATGTGATTTGGAACAGAGACTTCAGAGGGGACACCCAAAAGGCACGGGATGGCAGAAGGCTAGACAAAAAGACTAGACCAACACCGAGGAAATTCAGAACTGAGCAAAAGTTTTAGATTTCGACAGGCTGTAGAATTGAAAGACTCCAGCCAATTTTTCCCAGATACTGGGGGACAGAGAGGTCCTACTTGACATGGAGAGCTAAAGAAAAGGCCTAACATTTAAGTATTTTCTCAGGCCATCCTGGCAACTTCTTTTTTTGTTCATTTGGTTTTGTTGAATGAGTTTGCCAAGTCAGTTTGACCCTTACTATTATGTATCTGTCAGTGTTCTTGGGCTACAAGCATCGGAAACTAACTTGCTAACATATTCCAAGGTAATTTTGGAGAATCTACAATGGATGGGCTTAAAGAATTAAGGACAAAATGTTAGAGGACAGGGCTTGTAAATAAACAAGAACTTCAGGAGTTCTTGCTGAACTCAGAAGTAGAATGATGGCCAACCACAGGGAGAAGTGGGTAATGACCAAGCATCTCCTCTTTCTATGTGCTGCTCAAGAGTCGGAGTCCTGGGGGATGACATCTGATTGGCCAAACCAAATCATGTGATGGCTTGCTGTCCAGCTTTTTTTACTAGTGTTTCCCCTGAAGGGCATCCATTGTAGAGAGCAGTAGACGTAGGATGAACTGAGTCAGGATGAAAAGCCAGCAGTGAATCACACCATGGTTGGAGGGGCAAGTTGCTGATGAGTCTTCTCCTTTGGTAAATAGTGTCTCATAAACTTAGCAGTCAGCCGGCAGCTCTTTGCAGACGATCTGACACCCACATGATATGTTTTTTGGTCCATTTGCTTCTTGTTGGGGCTCTGGAGGAGACAACTGCATTTTTTTTGAAGGATTGAAGAAAGGAAAGTGGCAACAGTGGCTTTGGTGACTTTTCAGCCGAAAGTCTCTGTAGAACACCATCAGCCTGCATTTGGGCAGTGAACCCAGTGGTACCTCACCCCAGTGCTGGGCCTAAGCCCTAGACACTGCTGAGCACAGCTTATTGTCTGCCATCAGAGGTAGCCCATGCTTGATTTTTGTTTTGTTTTGGTGAGAGATCAGGGTTTTTTTCCACTGGCAGGTGGTTTTCCTCAGCTTCAGCATTGCCCCTAAAGACAACCCAGGTCTCCGTCTTTTTCTTCTTGCTGTTTGTGACAGTGACAAAGTTTCTGCTTTCTAAGAATTTTTCTATCTATTTCTAGTTCCAGAAAAGTATAGGGTTCAGGTAGGAGATAAGAAAGTGGGGGAAAGTTCAAATATGTATACACTCTTTCTTTGACGATGTCTCGGGATACTAGCCCCTCTGAGGGCAGAAAGTTTATTTTGTATCTTGATTCTTTCTACCCACACCTTCTCCCGACCCTTGACTCCTCCCTCTCCTTGCCTCCTCCCTCTCCTTGCTGCATGGGCTCGCAACATTCTCCTGCCGCCCTGTGTCTCTTTGGCTTAAGATTCTGTTTCTCCTCTACAGAATAACTGTTTTGCTTTCTTATTAATGGTTCTTATTTAAAGACCAAAAATAGACCCTCTTATAGGAATGATGAATCACATAAAATAAATTGCAGCATATTTCTCCCTTAGCTAGAGTTTCTGGAAAACTCAGAGCCAAATTTGTAATTACCCCTAGTATGCATAGAAGATCTCCAGGCATTCACAAGGGTTTGGACCTGTCTTTATTTTTATGTTTCCAACTCCTTTTGTCATTTTATCTTATTTCCTTTCCTTTCTTAACAATATCTTGTATTGATTATTTTTGTAAGCCACTTTAAGGAAGGAAGAACAGAGGGGAGAAGGAAAGGGAGAAAGGAATTCAAGGAGCAACCAGTTTTCCAGGAAGGAGGGTCATGTTTTCTTCTTTCTCTGGTAAAACTTGATGCCGTGTGCTGGAAAGTCACTAAACATTTTTGAACAGAAGATCAAAATGGCAAGCTTTTGTATAAAACACAGGGTATCTGAATAAATACCAAAAGTTGAGCACCTTAAATATAAAATACATGCGCTTGATGTAAATGCAGTCACTCGTGGTCCGCATGTAACAACATGAGTTAAAAACCACAGCAAAGGTGAGTAGCTGACCTTGAATTAACTACCCAGTTGCTTTAATTCTGCCATGGCATGAGTTGCAATTCGCTTCTTCAAATCAAGAAATGAATTAATTGAAAATCAATGTGATTACAAGAGTTAATTGAAATTATCTGCTTCTACACAAAGAAAAAAGAGCAATTCTGAAAAATAAAAAGAGTTCATTTTGGGCTTGATTATTAATACTGATGACAATGCATGCATTTCACTAAAGTCTGAGAATGAAGTTGGAAGAATGCTACATA